TAGTCGACTGCAGTTCAAGTTCCAGACCCACCAGCTTAAAACTCACCCCAGGCATTTGTGCATGCATGCCCAAGATCTGGAGAGGAGAATGGAAGATTGCAGCATGACCATCCCCTCGAGGGGTGACTTCTCACTTTCTATCTCTCTGCCTCTCTCTGTCTCTCTGTCTCTCTCTGTCTCTCTGGTGAGCACATGGACCCTATAGCAAAATTCTCTCTTAAAGAAAAAAAAAAAGTAAAGGGTAGGCCAATGAGAACTTTTACCATTAGAAAAGAATAACCTGAAGCAGCAAGTATCAACATGAATGTCAAAAACATCATATTGACTGAAAGAAGCTGGATGATTCCATTCAATGACAAGGACAAAAATAGGCAAACATAAATGCATGATTATGCATATAAAGAGATGGTAAAAGCACAAGAAAACTGTTTCTATATATTGTATATATATGTGCGTGTGTATATGTGTGTGTGTGTGTGTGTGTGTGTGTGTATACTGTATAATTATACACTTTGTTATATATTATGTGCTTCATAACTTTAAAAATGTTAAAAAAAAAAACCTTACATGAAGAAATCCCTATTATTTCTGTAAGTTTTACATATAAGGAACATCCTCACCCTCCAGAGTCATAGGAGACAAGTCTGTTCACTTTTTCTGCATGGCAGACTATAGGAATTTAAAGGCAATGACTATATTGCCTACCCCACACTAACTTATTCTGTTCAATTATTATTTATTTGCTGGGAGCTGAAGAGTCTTCTTCATAAGAATTGGAATTGATTAGAATGTGTGGACTCCATGGCAGGTTAGAGTGAGGGAAGATGGAGTCCTCCCACTCCCTTGCCCAGAGAGGGGTCTAGGAGGAATTTTCTCCAGATTCCCAGACCTGCTCACTGTGAAATGAAAGTGTTCCTGATACTTCCAGAACTCAGGAATCCAGGACCCAGAGGGCACCACTGAGAGGTTGGACATTTGCCCCATTTTGTCTCTCGGTATCTACCCATTTCATCTCTAACTAGGAGGTCTGGGATTGTGTCCCAGGAGACACTACATGTGAAAAGTCATAGCTACTCCTGACTCCTGTTCCTGAGCACCAATTCTCCAGCCCAGAGGCTTTATTCTGTGTTGCTGTTAGAAAAGGAAAAAACCCTGCGGCTCCCATCAATCCTCAAGAAGAAGTAGGAGAGGCAGACCAATTGGGCAGGCAGACTCAAACCCAGTGATGATGACAGGATCTGAGGATCTTTATAATTTCCAGGTGAGAGCTGAGGGGGTAGATATGGGAGACATTACTCACCACACCACACCACACACAGACACACACACACACACACACACACTTCTTCCTTATTTTCTCCTCTTTTATTGCCCCATTTTTACTCTCAGCCAAATACGACCCGGCTCTTCATTTTATATTTATTTTACACTTGTTATTATTTTAAAATTTAACCAGAAAGAGGTAGAGAAAGAGAGAAAGGTAAAGTGAGAAAGCAAGCTCTCATGTCTAGAACTTGACCATGTGAGAATCTAGCACCCCAACCACCATGCCACCTGCCAACCCCACAAGCTGGTTCTTCTAATCACAAGTAAGGCTTTAACTTGATATTCATAAACTCCCTGAATATCCAGTCTTAGGTCAATACAGATCCACTTTTTCCAAGTTCTTGTCAATGACCAAGACATTTCAACTATGTAATAGCAGCACCTGGGACACCTGTTCTGTACATGGACAATTCACTTTTAGTCCACTCAATTATAAGTAGCTTTTTGAATTATTCTATGCACCACTAAAGCATCATAACAATCTCCACAACAGTCAATAGTTTAACCAGCCCGGTCGTTAGCAGCAAACTAAGTACAACTGCTTCTTCTCATGATCAATGAAGTGATGGCAGAGGGTGGAGGAGAAAGGAATTTATTTCTGCAACCAGTTATAGGGGGAAAAAATCAAACTGTTTCCAAAAACTCATGTTCTCAGTATTTACAGAGATAAGATATAAGCACGTGCAAATCATTCCTCACTACCATCAATAAAAGTAAATTGCTCTTCCCTAGATAACTCCTGTTTTTCTTTAAATACCCCTTCCTGGTTTCTCATCTGATCATTCCTTAAATAGATCTCCCTATGACTCAGGACTTGGTCAGACTGTTCTCATTAGTGGACTTTCTTCATTTCAGAATCACTATGGTCTTGCTAAACCTCAAGTGGGCCCACTTCACTCTTTGTTTATATAATTTGAGATGCAGAATTATTTGAAGTAGATTCCTTTAGGTTTATTTTACAATTCTGAATTTGAGAAGTTAGATTATTTGACCAAAATGATAAAATTGGAACTCAAATTCAAGTTTGCACACCTCGAGTGGATGATTTGTCATGGCACTGATAGAGTAATAACCGTGTAATGGTCATGATGATATTGATGACAGTGACAGTCATAACTCTATATATTATACCTTAGAGTTTCTTATACTTTTTATAAATTTATTTAATTTTTACATTTAAATATTATGTATCACTTCAGCATACCAAATGAAATTGTCCCATTATGAATACACTGCATATCAGTCCAGTCAAAGACATTACCATATACATTATAATCAACAGATTTCTTTCCATCTTGGGTCCCTTAAGTGCTTTGCTCCTTTCTTCTTCCCATTGATTCTCTCCTTCTCACTCCCCATTTCCCACCCTCCTCTCCCATTATCTCTAGTATCATCATTGCTCTCCATGCTTTTATACCTTCCCATCATAATCGCCATAGAGTGCTGATGTTCAGTACATATTGAGTGGGGAAATACAATGCCTCTCTTTCATCTGGCTGGCTTCACTTAGCAGTAAATCTTCCATATTTGTCCACTTTCAAATGCCAGAGTCTCATTGTTTCTTATGACTGAGTAGTATTCTGTAACATATATGTTCCACATGTTTTTCAATCCATTCATCTGTTCATGGACATTTATTTGAGTTGTTCCATGTCTTAGCCATTTCAGAGCCCAACTTTTTATATATGGTGACAAGGAAAAGTAATAAATAGGGTGATCAGTTATTCCAGTTTCCCCAATGCAGGAGGGGTTTCATGTAAGTGGGGTTTTCCGTTTTAAAGCAGAAAAGTCCTGGACAAATACAAAGTACTAGTTACTCCTCCTAAAGAAAAGCAAATATTTAACAAGCATTGGCTATGAGCCAGTCATTGTTCTTTTTTTTTTTTTTTTTTTTTTTTTTTTTTGGGGTTTTTTTTTGAGAGGTTTTTGCTATAGGGCACGTACACTCACCAGAGAGACAGAAAGCGCAAATCACCCCCCAGAGGGGATGGCCACGCTGCAATCACTTATCCTCCATTCTCCACTCTGGATCTTGGGCATGCATGCTCATGCGCCCAGCGTGAGTTTAAGCCACCAGGTCCAGGACTTGAACTGCAGTCGACTCCATGAGAGTTCAGCGACTTAGCCATTATGCTAATTGCTGGTCCTGAGCCAGTCATTGTTCTACACAACCTGTATCTAATTTAATCCTTACAATACCACAATGAGTTAGACATTGTTATTAACTTATTCAAGCATATGCAAAAAGTAAAGCCAGAAAGACTGAGCAACTTGTTCAGCACCACACCCGTGGGCTAGTGGCCAAATGAAAGTCTGTCAGACCCAAAGGGAATGTGCTAGATATCCACATCCACCAGCACATTAGCACAGGCTGGCAATTCCTGTTTATGACCCAGTTGCACAAGTTAGACTCTCTTGTTTTGGATTTTATGATATAGATCCTGAAAAAAACTCCAATTATTTCTGGCATTTTAATGTTGCCAGTACTATATGATAACTTTATGTCTCCATCTTATACTTGAAGAAAATGAAGCTGAGAGGAAGGACATAGTTTACCCAAAATACAAAAGGTAGTTGAGGTTTAGAGCTGGGAGGCATGTCATCTAACATTTTTCAGTGCCTGAAACAACATATCCCATTTTATCTACTAATACTAACCATGTTGATAACTATTACTGCAATTTATTGAAAATTTACCCTGTGCTAGTGATTTAAATTCCTGATCTCACTTATTATGTACAACTATATAAAGTACAGACATCATGTACAGACCAGGAAACTGAAGCTCAACAAAGAAATGTGGTATTATCTGTTGAAGATAATTTATGGTTGTATCAACTGTACTAGGGAGAAATGTTCACCTGTTGAAATATCCATTTTGTAAGCCAAATAATGTGATTGAATGTATAAAAGAAAATGAAATAAAAAATTTAATAAAATAAGAGGATGTAGAGGATTGCATAGCTAGAAAGAACTGAGAAAGGACTCAGGTCTAGTTCATAAGAAACCAAACCCAACACTCCTAATAACTGAAACAGTTTATAATGATGTTAATGATAGGGCCTTTTATTTGCAAAATGTATTGGTGCTTATAGTAATTGTATCCACATTACTACTTTAGACAGGTCTTCGGAAGAAAAAGAGAATAAACACTCACTCCTGTTACATGAAAAATGCCTGTGTCCCAGCTATGGCCTATCTATGTAAATTATTACAGCTTCTTTCTCTCAGTACACACATACATGTGACTCTGCTTCATAATTTCCTATAAATGCATATCCCAAGGTATCTTATTTAAATTTCACAAACCCATGAAATGTATAGCTTTCCTATTAAAAAGATGGATGGAATAGAGGAGACTAAGATTTAGGTTCTCCCCAGCTTTTCCCCAATTTAATCTCATCCAGGGGGTCTACAGGACAACTTAATGGATATATAAAATGCAAATTTCACCTCAACAAGATCTTTCATTACCATTTTTCCAGAGTTCTTACCTCTGTACATGCTTACATACCTGCCAACAGGAGACAACAGTGCATCTCTATGACCTTTGAGAAGATCACAGAAAACAGACAAAAGGCCTTGAATGATAGAAACTTTGGAGTTTCTCTAGATTTAAGTAAGATTTTCCTTGAATTTTTCTACTTTAAATGGGAATTAGAAACCGAACTACCAGTTTTGATTTCCTGCTCATGGGCTTCTCTGAATACCCAAGAGAACAGCAGTTTCTCCTATTCGGGCTCTTCCTAGGCATGCACCTGGTTACTGTGCTGGGAAACCTGCTCATCATCCTGGCCATTAGCTCTGACCAGCACCTCCACATCCCTATGTACTTCTTCCTGGCCAACCTATCCTTTGCTGATACCTGCTTCACCTGCACCATTGTCCCCAAGATGCTGGTGAACATCCACACACAGCATCACACCATATCCTACACCGGGTGCCTCATGCAGATGTACTTCTTCATGGCTTTGACCTTGTTGGATGACTTTCTGCTGGCCATGATGGCCTATGATCGGTATGTGGCCATCTGCCTTCCTCTCCACTACACCATGGTCATGTGTCCCCAACACTGCCTGCTGCTCGCGTCCACATCCTGGTTCTGTGCCAGCCTCCTGGCTTTCTCCCTCACTCTCCTGATGGCTCAGGTCTCCTTCTGTGCCTCCCATTCCATCCCACACTTTTTCTGTGATGTACCCCCACTCCTCAAGCTTGCCTGTGCAGACACCCATATATTCCAGGTCACAATGTTAACTGAAGCAGTCCTCTCAGGTATTATCCCTCTCAGCTGTGTTCTGTTCTCTTATGCTCACATCATGCACACCATACTCAGGATCCCCTCTGCTGGAGGAAAGCATAAAGTCTTCTCTACCTGTGGCTCTCACCTGTCAGTGGTCACTCTCTTCTATGGAACAATCTTTCTGGTATATTTCCAGCCCTCATCCTCCTACTCAGCAGATACTGGAATGATTGTATCTGTGATGTACACAATGGTCACACCCATGCTGAACCCTTTTATCTATAGCCTGAGGAACAGAGACATGAAAAGGGCTATATGGAGACTCCTTGGCTTGGTAAAATGTTCTATTCAGTAAAGGTTACATACCCACAGTAGAATTCCATGTTCTTCAAAATGCCTTCCTATGTGGATTTTTCCATTATAGTTTTGACAAGGTCAAAATGAAGGCAGGATCATCACAAGCAGCTTCAACAAATGACAAATGCCTGGCTTGGCAGTACTGAAGTAAGATCAACTGGCCAAGAACAAAGTTGCTGCATGGATAAAAGTAGTCAGCAATTCCTCTAGGATAATTTGATTGGTGAGTACAGGTATACAAACAGATTAAAACCAGAGAGTTGGACCACCAGAAAAATTATATAAGACAGAACTTAGGTTCTAGAAGGAAGCTCAGTTTTCATCTCAGTCTAAGACTAAGAGGTACCACCCAGGGAAAGAAATGCTAAAAAGCCTGAGAAGGTCAAAGACTCTGAGTTTCAGGGACCATTTCCAAGACCAGCTTTGGAAACAGCTCACTCATAAGGATTAATTTCCACATGGAGAGAGCTGAACCAAGAAGACACACTTTTTGCTAGGACTAAGAGAGAAATAATTCTAGAAGAAGAAACTAGGCACAAATAGTCAAGAACTGGTTCAAAATCACTCAAATGAGAATAGATATGAAGACTCTTGACAGTGAATGATTATTAGTTACAGAGACAAGCCTCTAATTCTTCAGACACTGGTTTAGTTTGCTTGTCTGTACTGCAATACATGTTCATTATAGTAAATCTGTAAAACATCGACAAGTAGCAAAAAAGAAAAAAACACTCATCACAGATAATATTTTACCTTATTTCCTTCCTGTCTCTTTCTAATTCCTTTTGTCTTTTACTATGTTGAAAAAATGCCACAGGTACATTATAAGTCGTTTTTTACATAATTATATAACATGCGTTATCTCTATATTATTACTAACTCTTCCTGAACATCTAAGATTATATCAGAAGAAAGGTCCATGATTTCTACAACCTTTTAATACATTTTGATGATTATGAAGTCTAAGTTTTCACTATTACAAATAATAATAATGAAAGTCTTTGAAAAGAAACCATTTTTATATTTATAATCTGTTACCTTTGGCATTTTCAAAAGTATAATGTCTAAGTAGAATATTTTTACATGCCAACATGCCCAAATGGGGGTGTCTTTTTGTCTCCATCCTCTAAGATTTTTATGTCCACATTCTCACCTTAATTATAAGTAATATAATAGCTAAACTGGTACCTTCTCTAGTTTTCTTTGATAACTGGTGAGGGGACCATTTTCCTGTATCTCCTAACCAACTTATTTAGCTATTCTATTAATTGTTCATGTCATTTGTCTTTGTAAAGTTCTCAGTGAATTCTTATATCTGTGATTTTTTTATATAAATAAGTTTTTATTTTGTATAGTATATAATCAAGAGACCTTCCTTTCATACCTTTTTTCCTGGAATTATCAATAGAACATCCTTTTCTATGCAGAATTCATGCAAATAGTCAACTTTTTTCATTTTCTTAAAGAATTTATTATTTATTACTATTCATTACCTTAGAATGAAATATTAGAATATAGTTGAAGTAGTTTTCTCCCAATATAGCTCTCTCACTTTCTGTTAGCTGTCCCATTTCATATTATATAACTATTTGCAAATATAAATGCTGACTGTCTCTGAACAGGGACCTAAAAAGGGATTTTGGGGGTACTTGTCATGTTCTGTTTCACTTCCTGGGTGCTTCTCATTAAGTGTGTTCACTTTGAAAAAATTCATTATATTGTGAATGTATGATTTTGTCTATTTTCTATATACTTTAATAACTATATATTCAATAAAATGTTTACTCAACAAAAATTTAAATACAGAAAGATTGAAAACAAAATCATTGTAAAATAATAAACCATAAAAACATTGGCATGAATCTAGCATACTCAAACAAATAGCTTTAAGATGTTATTACAAATATAAAGTTTATAAGAATGAAACCTTTCATTATCAGGAAAATATAACAGTTCTAAATTTTTCAGTTACAAAAAAGCCACAAATACACATTTAAAAAAATAATAGACAAACAAGGAGAACAAGATAAACCTATTTTTGGTGAGAGATTTTTTTTTAATTTAATATATTTTTATTTTTTTAAATGTATAGTTAGTTGTACCTGTTCATGCCTCTACACCAGCATCTAGAGCATCTCCACCCTTGGTATTTCTGGTGTAAATTATTTTCACTCTGTGCTTTCAAACAGTCCTTTACTAAGAAAGCCCCAAAGTGTTGCCCTGGCCAGCGAACCATGAATCTTCCACCTCTCAGAGACCATAGCTGGGATTATGAGTTTATAGTTAGGAACTTACAGAGTTTGTCATTTTTGAGCGTGTCCCAAACTTTGACTTGGTACCACTTCTTTTTGGCCTTGCCCCCAGATTTGTTCACTGGGTCTTTGTCCTTCTTGGCCGACTTCCTGCCATCTTTCTTCATCTTATTGTCCTTGGGCAGCATCGTGAAACCGGAAAAGCAGCAGCAGCCATGGCACCCTCACTAAGATATTGGACAGACAGCTTGTGGTGGGAAATTTTAACACACTTATGGTAATTGATATAAAAAATAGATTTTTTTTTTCCTGACAGTGTCTCACTGTCCTAATTCTCCCGCTCCAGCTTTCCAGTTAGGACTTCAGGCACAAGACACCACGCCTGGATCCTTTTTAGAAAGGGTCTCTTTGTGTTGCACGGGTCAGCCTGGAGTTCATGATCCTCCTGCCTCAGAGTCCCCAAGCAGCTGAGATTACAGGCAGTTGCCACCACACTAGGCCTTTCATTTGGAGCAAGAATTAAACCCGGACTCACAAATCGTTCTAGTCTGTGAAACACAATGTCTTAGCAGTACATGCCTCTGCAGATTGCCAGAACAAGCTGATTTTTTTAATTCAATAAAGGCAGAGCTGGCAGGTGGTGTGGTGGTTGGAGCTCTGGACTCCCACATGGCCGACTGTGGTTTGAGTCCTGGACCTGGCTGCTTGCCTTTTCACTTTCCCTTTCTCTCTCTCTGTCTCTCTTTAGTCAAATGAATAATAATAATAATAATAAACAAATAAAATTAAATAATTTTTATTAAAAAAAACTTCTAGAAATTCAATAAAGGCATAGAATATTTGAAAAGCACAATTATCGATAGTAATCTGTTGTACATATACATAACATTGTATTTAACACTTGCAGAGCACACATCCTTTGCAAGAACTCAAAAATAAATTTGCAAAACTTGTTCATTTAGTGAGCCATAAAGAAAATGTCAATAAATGTCAAATAGTTGAAATCATAAAGACCACATGCTATTAAGCTTAAAACTCATAACAAAAATAAAACTAGAAGGGGACTGGATGGTAAAACATGATACTCTATGAAGCTGACGCAGGTTCCAGGTTCACATCCAGAGACCTCCCTGAGTGTGCCAGGTAAGCACCAGCTCATGACTCAGAACTGGTTGGGGCTAGGGGTGGATGGCAGCCTCAAGACTCTATTGGGAGTGCTGTCTCTCTGTTTCTCTTTCTGCCTCTCTTGTTCAAGGAAGTTGTAAATAAATAAATATACACACATACACACAGAACTAGAGATTTCCACATTTGAGAACCAAAAAACGCAAATAGAGAGATAATTTATGAACAGGGCCAGCCCATGTGTTGTGGTTAAGGTGGCTGGATTCCACATAGCCAACTACATGGTTAGAGTCTCAGGTCCAGCAGCTTGAGAAACATGACAGGCTTGTGTGAATGTGTGCCCAAAATCCCAAAAAAGAAGTAGAAATGGAAGAAAAAGGATTACAATGTGACTATGCCCCATGGGAAGTGCTTTCTCATTTTCTCTTTCTCTCTCTCTGTTTCTTTCTAGCAAGCATACACCCTCTGGTGAATTAAAAGAGTAAAATTTAAAAATAAAAAAAGAAAGAATTTAGGGAACCAGCAGTTAGCATAATGGCTATGTTGCTGGACTCCCACGTAGTCGACCGCGGTTCGCGTCCCGGACCCAGTGGCTTAAAACTCACGCCAGACGCGGGTGTGTGCGTGCACAAGATCCCGAGAGGAGCATGGAGGAGAAGGGATTGCGGTGTGATTATCCCCCCTGGGGGGTGATTTCTCGCTTTCTGTCTCTATGTCTCTCTCTGTCTGTCTGGCGAGCGCACGTGCCCTATAGCGAAAAAAATCTCTCCCAAAAAAAAAGAGAAAGAATTTAGAAATTAAAGAGGAAATCATTATAATTATTAGGAAAAATGCTTATCTGAATGAAGACCAATGTAAATTATTTACAGGAAACTTATAACCTTACATACAAATATTTTTAAATGTTTTTTAAATGCCTAAAAAAATAGTGAATTAATCATGCATCTTAAAAGGTTATAAATAGTATTGTCAACTGGACTGGTGAGAAATGTACACATGTTGGAATATTCACTTTGTAATCCGAGTAACATGAGATTGAATGTATAAAAGAAATGGAAATAAAAAGAAATTTAAAAAACAAATAAATATGGGGGACCAGCAGTTGGCATAATGGCTATGTCGCTGGACTCCCATTTAGTTGACTATGGTTTTAATCCTGGACCCAGTGGCTTAAACTCACAGTAGGCGCATGTGCATGCATGCCCAAGATCCCAAGAGGAAAATGGAGGAGAAGGGATTGTGGTGTGGCCATCCCCCTTGGGGGTGATTTCTCGCTTTCTGTCTCTCTGACTCTTGTCTTTCTGGCGAGTGCACACGCTCTATAGCAAAAACCTCTCCAAAAAAAAAAAAAAAAGCAAGCAAGAAAGAAAGAAATAAAGGGTTATAAAAGGACGAGCAAAATCAACCTAAGGAGAATAAAACAAGGGAAATTAAACAGATGAGAGCAAAACATAACATAATAGAGTAAAACGCACAATAAAAAATAAAGCCCAGCAAATGGTGGGAATGAAAACCAGTAAAGTCATTGTAGACAACAGTATGAAGATTCCTCAAAAATCTAAAAATAGAATTACCTTTCAACCTAGCAATCCCTCTTTGGGGTATATATCGAAAGGATAGG